GCCCCGTGGGGAAGCGAACTGTGTGTGTCTGTGTGCGTGTCTGTGTATGTGTGTGTGTGTGTTGCATCAGGAAGCCAAAGTGGCCCCGGCTGACCATCATCGGCGCCCCATCGGATCAATATGATAACGCTTACGGGAATGTGACTGAAACACCAGGGCGAGACAAAGAAAACTCCGCGATGGCTTTAATGAATGACGCCATACGTTTGAATAAATGTAGAAAACATAAAACAGGTCGCTGATTCCAATCTGAAAACATTAGTATGTATATGCAACCCACCGGGGAGGGAGGAGGAGACTGGATGATGCTCAGGATTACGGTGCTCATTTGCATTTTTTGGATAATGAATTAATTAGTCCCCCCCGCCCCCCAACCCACCCATTTTAAAAAAGGCAGGAACAAATAGGGATGATGATGATGATGATGATGAGACTGGTCCATTAGCTGTGTTTGAGGAGGCTGATTTTGTGTCACATCAGATTTCAATCTTCGTTGTTGTCCTACTTCTAAACACGCGTTTTGTTGTATTACTATTATTATTATGAGACAACAGATTATTCTTTGTCTAAAACGCTGCCAATGAAAACTGACAATCATGCAGAATGACAGCAGGAAAGATTCTTTGACTTTTAAAAAAGGCTGGGGACATATGTAAAATACACTTTTCTGGGAGTTATTTTGTTGTACCTGGAGTCTCTAGGAGTGCAGAAAATGTGAATTTAGTCCATCCCAGTGCTGTGTACATTATATTCTGTTTGGGTCATATTTTTCTGTTCAGTTTTCTCAATTGTTACATCACAGCATTCGCGACGGAACTGCCAAATAAAGTCTGGACTTACCGACTACAATTTCATGGTCGTCACTCTCCTTTGGCTCTGGGTCAGACTCTGGCTCCAACATGTAAGGCTGGATGGACAAGTCTTCCCTTTTTGACATCTTTTAATTAATTTGTAAATAATATGTTTCTGCGCAGCTATATAGTCGTAAACTCTATTAAATTGGAATGGATCGGTCTGGAAGCTGCAGGAGGGCGGGTGTGAAGCACCTCCTTTGCATTTAAAAAGACGGCATCAAAACGAGTTGATCTGAGACACACCTCAGAAAAGGGGTGAAAGAGGGGCTTGTGGAGTTACAGTAAAGAGGAATTCAAATGATTCCCTCCCCTGAAATTACTCATCTTCTGTCAACTTTTATCCTTATAGCTTTTAGTCACTTTTTTTGTAGAAGAGAGAAGAGCTTATCTTTTGGCTTTCAACCTGGCGTCTCTGATTGCATTGTTCTCTGTCTGACTGTTTACATCAGGGGGTTATTTTACCGACTCAATATCCATTGCGCACCAAAACTACCCAAAGTGTACTCGTTGATGTTTGAATGTAAACAATTGACTCAAAATTGTTGCCAACAAAACACAACTGTTGATTTTGCCCATTAATTACAAATACTGCAATAGACTATTGGTAATAAATAAAACATATAAAAGTAATCAAAAAATCCTGCATTTTGACAGCTCTTATGGCTTTAAAATGTACATATAAAAATGTTATCCTGAATTATATCAAATGTTTGAAAGAATTTACACCAGTAGTTTTATCTCAAGTTACTTGACTAATCTACATCATGGTAGCTGTAGTCTGTGTAGGTGAACAAATATGGCAGAAAGGATAGAAACTTTAGGAGTAAATATAAGACAGAATCTTGCGTGTATGTTATGCCCTTGAAACAACTATCAAGGATAAATAAAGGGCATAAAGCAGGGAGGTAAAGTCGTTGGCTTTTAAACACATGGCTTTTGCAAAACTTCWTCAAAACCAGCCCATTTGTGGTTTCAACCTATCTTTCTTTYGCATATTTTATTCAACAAATCTAATTGTAAATACATACCAAAACATCAAAACTATCAGACTTCACCAACCCAAACAACTCTTTCATGTGTGCCGCTATTGCTGACCTATTTTCAGTCACTTTAGCTGTTTGTCCCTTCGTTTTGCTCACAAATGTTTGTTCAAGGACAAATTACTGTTTTATTTCTTACTTTTTCTTTAATCAGACTTTATTACTGCAATGAGTAGATTTAACAGCTTGAGCGCCACATCCGATTTTAAAGTTTTGATTATTTTTCAGTCTAAACACTCATTGTTTTGTTTTTTTAATGGAGTCCAACAGTTTGTTTATTCTTTGTTTAAACGCTGCCAAGGAAACCTCTCATCACTCATCCAGGAGAGAAACAAAGATTAGCCGCTTTAACTGATAAATGAACAGATTTATTCTATTTTAACCAGTTGCTCGACACATTTTCTTCATCCTAAACATGAAGCTTGATCCTTGTCAGAATGTAATTAACTAAAGCAAATAGTGTGAGCTGGGCGCCTTTTTTTTCGCACTAAAGCCAAACATGGGTAGCAGGAGAGACGGGGCAGTGTGGATCAATAGAAATCAAGTTGAGGGTGGTGTGCGGGGGGGCGGGGGCTTCATTGTGCTACAAACCACATTGGTCGTCTTTGCTTTAATAGCACTGGGGGTGGTAGGGATTCTGCTGTGTGCTGGTAAAAACCTCTTCCTGCTCAGGAGGCTAAATGTCCTGAGAAGTCGTACTCCTTCTCCACATAGCAACCCAACACCGCAGCACCTCCCTTATCGCAGTTTGTATACATTTCTCACAAGGTCAGTGTTTATGATTTGTACACRCACGCATGCAGTCTGCTGCAGCCTTTCCTCAGCTACACAAACATTCAGAGGATGCAAGGCTGATAAGAACGGCTATTATCTACCAAACAGGGAGAGAGAGAGTCGAACCCCGCCGCTTTTAAGACAACACAAGGCTTTCGTTGGCTCAGAGACAGCAGAGAAGCGAGTCGAGTGCGCTGAATCTACTGCGAGGGCTGTGCACAGCAAAGCTGGATTGGCTGGCGGGGCGGGCTCCCCTCCCTGGCAGATGAGATCCCATTATCAGGCAGACGAGAACTCCACCTCCAGGATTTCACAGCTCCTCTGTTTATCACATGGCTCTGTCAAGTTGGGCACCATTAACCGATAATGAAAGAAGACAACCGGTGCAGTTACAAGCAAAGCACTCCACACTCTACAGGCCTAAGCATGTATCTGGGAAGCTGACTGTGTCTATTCAATTCTGTTCAGCATTCAAACGGGCCATCACAATACACCCCCCACCCCCCCAGCACCATTTTTCTACAGCCATTGTGCCTTTCGATCCTGGCAGAAAAACGCACTGGTTACTCCTTCTCTGGATTCGGAGAGAAATGTAATCTAACAGTGTTGTGCACGAGTTGAAAATGAAAAAAAAAAGTGCTCCTTTTTATGATTGAACAAAATTGTTTTCTAAAAGCGAAGAAAACCAAACGAAAGGGGGGAAAAAAACAAAGATGTTTCTTCAAGTGAACATCAAATCATTCTTAATATCATTCAGCTGCATCTTTGAATAACTAGTACAAGTATTACTGAACAGAAAGAAAAAAAAATCAAAGACCAACAAAACCTCCTCCCATCTCCCCGCTTTCCCAGTCTGACTACTCAATTCATGCTTTAAAGGATTCTGTAGCCATTTACGCTCATTAAAAATGAATACTTAACAAAAGCTGTGGCCGACACAAACTGTTTGCTCTAGCTTGATTTCTCTACACTGGGGGGGGAGCCACTCAGAGGTAGCAAATGGAGCAAGCAGGAGAGAAAGAGAGAGGGGGAAAAAAGTGCTCAGCAATACAAATAAGTCAGCCAGTAGCTGAAACAACAGGAAAAAAAAAAGTGACACGGATGACTGAGCCAAGCCTGTGAGAGACTTGGCAAGCCCCAGAGGCCTTGGCCTCTTAAGCACTCATATCTAGTAACTTCATTTAATACATTCACCAGGGATGAGCAGACAAGTTAAAGAGAAAACAGGATCAGGAGAGGAAAACAGACTTGTAAACCAAGGAGAGGGCTAGGCTTTGATGATGGTGGGGGTTTATTTCTGCAAGCTGACTTCCCCGGTGCCAAAATAAAAATAAAAAAGAACGAATGTGCTAGATTGAACTACGAGACTGTTTTACCGTTCTTAGGCAAGTCTAATCCAAAAGGAGCCTTTCTTCTTGTATTAGAAAGTGAACAGTGGTTTTCCAGATGGGACTTTAAAGCAGCGCCTGTCTTTGCCACACGTACTATATCCATAAAGAACAAAGGCTCTGTGTGAGTGCTGTTAGAAGTTACTGTTCCTCATACTGAGGGTGAGTGCTCAGAGTCCCTCCCTTTTTTTTTTCTGCCAGCAGGCAAGGCTGACTTCAAATCATTCATTGCCCTTTTTAGCCTTCATAGACTCTTAAGAGAGCATTTTACAAGTTGGGAGAATCCAAGGAAAAATAGGCTCCAACACGACTAATTAAAACAGAGACTTTGCCTTGAGGGGTTTGGGTGAAGGGGAAGCAATAAAACACTCGTCTTCAATCCCTCAACAAAGTAAATTAAAAGGAAGTTACTCAAGGAAATATAGTCAATTTTTTGTAGATGAGTGGATTTAAGGTTTTTATTTTATTGACCGCTTTTGTATCAACAAAAATTAGTATTCAACACTGGCTTTAAAAGCCAGACAACAAAGGTTGCATCCTTTTTTTTCTTAAACACTTCATCAAGGTGAGACTCTACGTGAAAATAAAAACACCTTATCCGATAGTAATCAAGCTGCTACCTAGCGAGCCTTTATTTGCAATCATTA